TATATGTATATCTATGATAATATAAAGTATTATGAATTATGATAACTACATGCAATGTTTTTGGAAAAATTGATTAACCATGCCTTATTCAAAATGCGTCCTAATTGAAAAATAATGTATTTGTTTCAAAATAGAATATATGACAATATTAAAATACAATATATCCTAGACTGACAAATCATCTCCGTTCAGAATCGTTTTTCGTATACCTATCATTGCATTCAAATTTAATCCCATTCATTACAGTAACCTACTGTACAGCAGAGCGACATCCACGACTTACCCCCTTTTTTGATACGAAAATAATTTTCATAAAATAAATTTGGATTATTTTTCTTACTTGCTAAAATATGGTTGAAAATGTCAACAACAAAAAGTCAACTACGCTTTATTTATATACTTTTACTGAAAAAAAATGTTCGTTTCTTTTTGTATTATATATATATATATATATATAAATAAAAATTAGATGTTTGGTTTATTGTTTACAAAACTTAACTGTGAAACAATCAACTTATTTATAGAAAAAAATGTGCTCATAATGTTTATTAATTATTATGGTTTATATTAGATATAATAAAATTATATCGACACAGCGGGTAAATATAGAAATAGTAATAGCATTATATTATCATTATCCATCAACAGCAAACAACGTCAAAACGAAAGGCGAAAATCCAARAAAATGATAAATACGAGTGGAAAATAGATTGTTTTTACAACAATCTCGATAGCGATAAATCCATATTATATTGTTTACAATATAAAACCAATGGATGCTACAAATAACTCGTGCCATACTGSCTCATGTGGAGCATAATATTTATATTTTATACGTATATAATCGATACGATATTTTTTGTCAATTAAAATAATAACGAAAAGGATAGAATCAATATATGATTTTATGTCGATTTTTGAAAATCGATTGAAGACACATCACGTTCGAGACGCGTGATTCGTCTTTCRTGAGTATTGAGTAGAATAATATTCATTATTCAATATTATTGTAACGTGCCAGTCGCGTGATTCGTCTTGAACGTTATTTATATTTAAATACAGATCGTTTCGAATGTGTTATTGTGTTAATACAGCAATTTAAAAAAATCAAAAATATAGAGGCACAATATAAGTAGTTGTAAAGTTTTCACCATTATATTATGTATATTATTATATTCAAAACGTTATGAATTATCTTAAGCTACCTATAATTGGATATTGAATGTTTGTCACCTATTCACGCCGTTTTACGTTACCCATCTTGGCATTGACGGTATTTTAAAAGTTAYAACAACAATAATATAGGATCTTTAATATCTGATATAGATACTATTATAATTAGATCAACGTACGATAGGGATAAATGTGTAACTAAAAGAAAAATAAATAAATAATATAATGGCCTTATAAATAGACGCATCGTGTGTCTTCATTCGAATCGTTTTCCATTTTTCGAAGTACCTTAAGTACCTAGTACCTACACTCGAAATTTCAATTGACTTTTTAAAAATTTAAACTTTTCATTAACAATTATTAATCTTATATTTTTTTGCAACTATAATTATTTATTATTT